ATCAGCAAGGGCACTTAACCCAAAATCAGAAACCTTGAGATTCTCATTGTCATCAAGCAGAAGATTCTCTGGCTTTATATCACGATGATACACTTGCCTGCTGTGACAAAAATCAACGGCGTTGATAAGCTGATAAAAGTATTTCCAAGCGACATCCTCTCTCAGCTTCCCTTTGGCAACCTTGTTGAAGAGCTCCCCACCTTTACAGTACTCCATAACAAAATAGATCCTTGTTTTTGTAGCCATGACCTCGTAGAGCTCCACAACGTTAGGGTGTTTAGCAATCCTCATAACAGAGATCTCTCGTTTGATCTGCTCCATAAGGCCAACTTTCATAACCTTATCCTTGTCGATCATCTTGATAGCAACGCTCTGGTTAGTAAGGATACTCCTCCCATAGTACACCTTGGCAAAAGTACCTTGACCCAATAACCTCCCGACTTCATATTTCTCGGTCAAGACACTCGGTTTATTTTCCATCTAATCCACACAATTACACAAGCAAAAGAAGAAGAAGACTACTACTAGCTCCAGCTAGCTGAGAGTGTGTGGTAGCTCGTGAAACTAATGCCCTAGTGACAGGACACATCTTCCAGCATAGCTGAGTCTCTTTCAAAGCCAAGAGAGTGACGAGTATATGAATACACACCCACCTCTCAGAATCTGAGCCTGTCGAAGTAAAATGAACAAAGCCATGAGAATCAATGTACAAACGTTGCTTACAGAAATGGGAACTTTTTTAGTTATTTCCCAGATGTTCACCCGATTCAAAGAATAATCCTTCCACCAACCACAAGTAAGAAATTGAAAACCTAATTATGATCAAATCAATTCACATGCTCCAATCTAAAGCCCTAAACCAACAGATAACCACCGATCATTCCATTTATCTTCTTCTTCCTCCTCATTATCAACAACACAGGCATAGATCCAGCAATCATAAAACCCTAAAATTCAAACAATTCGGACGGAGAAAACAATCAATCGATCAAACAGATTATAAAACTAAGACAATCACCTAAGATTGAAGGAGAATGAAATCAGGGGGATCTCGAACGAAGACGACGAGCAGATCTCTCTATCCGCCTCTGAATCTCCCTTCAAGCGACTCCTTCTCCTCCTTGTTTCTTTCTGCTTCTTCTTTTTTGTTTTGATGGAGAGGAAGAAGAAGAAGAAAGGATGACAATGAAGCTAAACGTCATTGGCGGCGGTCCATTAGAATTAAAGAAACAAATATCTAAAATGGTTTAAATTAATTAGGCAGAGAGAGGGAGGCCACTTGTCTTCCTCTGTGCCTTGTCTTGTCTCCACCTTCCTCCCATTCGCCAACTTTTGCTTTTCATCTAACGGCTCTCCTTTTGCCAACCTATTTATTAATTAATGAATTTATCACTCTCATGTACAACAAAAAATACCAATTATATTCTGTGATTGGGTGGTGTTCTGTAAGGCCTGGCCGACGTAAATGATCGACATTCAGATTGTTTACAAAATGACCAAACTAGGCCAGGGCATTTTCCGGTTCGGATCGAGTTCGGGTCGGGTCATATTGGGTCCAGGTCCTTCGGGTCATAGATATTTAGACCCAATAGGGTAATTAGACTTTGTCGGTTCGAGTTCGGTTCGGGTCCTACCGGATCCGGATCGGTTCGAGTCTTATATAGTTGGACCCAATAGGTTAATTAAAATTTATAGGTTCGGATTCGGTTCGGTTCGGGTCATGTTGGGTATGGCCCAAAAATACCTAAACACACACAAAAAATATATAAATACCCAAAAAAATACCTGAAATTTAACCCAAAATCTGATCCGAAGACAAAAATATCCAAAACTTTATCTGATTATTCGAATTATATTTTTAAAAACCTAAAATTTTACTTAAAATCCGTAATTATATCCGAAAACCCAAATCCGAAACATAAAATAATACTTATAATACCATAAAAATACTAAAACATATATATATATATATGTATACATAATATATACTAGAAGTTTTGGATATTTCGGGTATTCCATCGGGTCTCGGGTTCGGATCCTTGCGGGTCCAAGACCCGCGGGTTCTCCACATCAAGACTCAATAGGGTAAAATGATCGGTTCAGTTCATACCTGAACCGCACATTTTCAGGTCGGTTCCGGGTCGGATCTTTGGGTCCGCGTAAAATGCCCAGGTCTAGACCAAACTATATGTTTGGGTTCGTTACTATTTTTTTGGATTAGATTCGATTCGAATTTTCGAATCCCGATTTTTTGCCAAACCCTACTTTTAAAATAGAAAAATACCCTATGATCCTCCTTAAAAGTTTGTTTTTCTTCTCAAATATACACAGATCAAAATGACAACATATGTTTTATTAAAGAGATAAAATACACATACGATTTATTCTTCTCTTTATGTGTTTATTTGGTCAAAAAAACTATTTTTATGTTTTTTTAACAGATTTTTGCCCTTACAAATATAATGCGTCTGCTAGTATATATGTCGAATTCATCTCAGATTCTCCTATGCATTTTCTTAAAAATAGGATGTTTATAGGATGTTTATATGAAAGACAGATACTACTTCCTCAAATGACCTTCGATTTTCTTTTTAAGTCATTTTATCTACCGTTATAGATATATAAGATTTCAGTGTCAAAACAATTTGATTTTCATGTATCTAAGATGATTTAATAAAAAAAATAACAAAATAGATCATTTGAAACTTAGAGATTAAAACTGCTTAAATGAAAAGGATAAATCTCTCAGAAGGTTTAAAATATATTTATGACCAAAACACACATAAAGAGGAAAATGACCAAACTAAATTTCACCCTGATATATGTATAAATAAATATTTAAAATTTTTTTTTTATTTTCAAACAAAAACTTTTTTTTTTGGTTTTTTATTTTAAAAATTTCTTTCATTTCTGAAATTATTTTTTCAATTTTTCTGAAAATATTTTTAAAATTATTATTTTTAATTTTGTACCAAAAATCTTAAATTATAAACCCTAAATATCCTCTCTAAAATCTAAATCTTTATTTTAGATTATTTAACTTTAACATACAAATATCTTTATATTTTTAATGGAACATGATTTGTCATTTTGATCATTGGAATAATGTGTGGCATTTTATTTGCGGCGTCATCGACTGTGGGAATATATTCACTGGAGTCTGATAAAATTGAAATTATATTAACTATTAAAAATGTAAGAGAAGTTACATATTCATTTTTATAAATAACCAAAAATACTTAAATTTTGTTGTTTTATTTATTTATTTCACATACATAATTTTTTGAAAATATATATTAGGAAATATGTTATAATAGAAAATATATATTAGGATATGATAGTGCCTCGTGGAACTCGTTTTGTTTTTTTTTTGGCTGTTAATTGTTTTATCTATTTTTAATTGTTTTTGGGTTTGAATTCGTTAAATTTTAGGATTTTCCACTATTTTGGGCTTTAAACAATAAGCCTAGAGGAAAAAAAAATAAAAACATTAAAACTAAAAAACCCATATGATAATAACCAAACAAAAAAACTAAAATATATAACAACTGCGTGGTTTGAACCCACACGCTTGCTGACTTAATTAGATGCCTTATACCAATTAAAGTGTATTCGTTGTTTATAGTCATTTTAGAAAAACTATAAACTTTTAAAAATTAAGCGTTCATGACCCACAAAATGTTGACGTGTACACCTTATGAAACCTTAAAAGTGTACTATTATATATAAGATTTGTATGAGAATAACATATTAGATATAAAACTTAGTATTTAACTTTTCTTACCATTTTCAGATTTTTTGTTTTTATTTTTCTGAATCTTTTTTGATTTGGTAGCTCTCTTCTTCAGTCTTGCAATTTTTCTCTCATGTTGCCAATCAAGAGAAGAAAAAAAATCGCTAGAGATGAGGCTCTCACTCAGGTCCATAAACATGACGTCAAAACGTACATCAGCTCCATCGCCCATATTAAACCAGCAGTCCGGTATATCTCTGATTTCAATCTTTTTCATAGTGTTGGGTAATCGGGGTCTTAATCGGGTTTCGATTTGGGTTCATTCAAGTTTCGGGTTCATGAATTCAGCCTCATTCATACATTATACAAATTCAGATCAGATTCGGTTCGGATTTAGTCGGATTCGGTTCGGATTTAGTAACATGTCCAAGATCCAGTTGAACCCGAAATAGTTTCGGTTTCATATACTATTCGGGTTATTGGTTCTAAAAATACTAATTTATACTCAACTAAACTCACAATATTTCAATTGTTTTATTAGATTTGTGTATTTAGCTTCTAGAGACCATACTTTCTCCTTCAAAATAATATTGTTAAACTATGTCTATCACTCATATAAGATTTGTCATTGAACTATATTTAATAACACTAAACATATCATGATTAATGAGAAACCAAAGCAATGTATGAACGAAAATCATACATAAAGAAACATAAAAAATTAAAGTTAACAACTAACAATTCTAAAAACGTAAGAAATACTATTTAAACGTTTTTTTAAAAAACAACATTATTGAAACATCAAAACAAATTTATTCGTAACTTAACTTCAAAAATGTAATGTCAACATAAATATTAATATTAACTAAATAACAATATATATTAGACTAACTATTTGAGTTAATTATTCATATAATAACTAATTGTTGTTGGTACTCAATAATATATTAATGTGTGTTGGAAACATATTAGAAATTTAGATTGGGTATAGTACAAGTTTTTTTTTGTAATTTTTAAAGCTTCGGGTTCTTTCGGATATACATTTAAGTTTGGGTTCGGTTCGAGTAAAACCCATAACCCAAAATACCGTAAAACAAGATCTATTCAGTACTTATGTCAGGTTCAGATCAGTTCGAATTTTTTTTTCTCGGATCGGTTTCGGTTCGGATTTTCGGGTTCGGTTTCTATGCTCAACCTTACTTTCTCATATCATTGCTTGGAAGATCGTAAGATAGAATGTGCAAAGGATAAATAAAATCCTTTGGTATCAGGAGACATTGCCGGTTTGAGTTGTACCTTTTACCCTGAATGTAATGATGTCGACTAAAGGCAGCTGAGAAGGCTGCAAAACCAAACTCTTGCACGACCTTTTCTTGCTCCCAACATCTTCCGGATTCCATAAAGCCAAGACACCCTTGTCTCTAAGATTGGTTGGGTCACATAGAGTTGCTTTTCCACCATGCTCCAAAAGAGTCAGATCTGGGGTATCTTCCGGGGCATCTTCAAGCAGATTGGGTACATGGATCATGTTGAACACTTTGGATCTAATGTCAAAACTAACAACAACAAATCGATCCCTATCCACCAAAGCCAAGTAATATATAACCCCACCGATAGAGATTCCTCCTTTGGAAGGCAAGGACAAAAGTCCGTTGGAGTTAGAGCAGCCTTTCCCCAAAAAGCTCTTTTATGTTTCAAGAGAAGGACTCGATTCTCTGAATTTATAACTTCCATAGTTTCTTTAAAGAATACACTTACAGGGAGATTACTTTGTACTTATCGCTGATAGGGTCGTATCCGAAAAATTAGGTTACGATTTTTTTCTCCTCCTGGAGGGACGACCATGTGGTTGGATTTTCTGAAGGGTAAGGTGACAAATTGTCTGGGGACAGGGTTAAGGATGCAGGGCTTTCTCCAATAAACGTAGAGCATGAAGCCACCAAGATTTTGCAAGATGTAACCTCCCATCTGTGTGTTGGTCTCATTGCGGTCAACTACAAAGATAGACGTATAGTAGTAGGCCTAGTGTCCTCAGGAGCCAATGTGAGTAGTACAGAGTCACTGTAGGTGGTCTGATCCCGTAAACACATGTAAAGACAAGGGGATGGGACCTTTGGAAACGGTTGCAGAAATAACGTGAGCCGATGAGCGATAACTAGAGCTTTGAAACGCACATGAATCTCATCAGCGATTTCGGAAGCAGACTCGTGAGAATCTCCTCTGTCACCAAATGCATAGGAAGCTCCGGTGCCTCCGTAGACAAAACCATGATATATTTTGGAGAGAAAGTAATAGCCACGATTTAGGGTTTATAAATTTAAGGTGGAGGTGTTAAAAGCTTTAATTGCTTCCTTTTCTTCTTCTCAATAGTTATTTTCCTTTATTTTGATTTTCTTTTTACTCTTTGTTTACTTTTTTAGCCTTTTGATCCTAGCATAACTCTGTGTTTCATGGATGTTTTTTTAGTAATTACACATTTTTCTTGAAAATAAATTAATTCGGTATTCAGAAACGAGTGAGTTAGTTTCTAGTATATATATATCTCTATAATATTATTTGAGAAGTCAGTTTCATACGTGTCGCGCGCACGTTAACTCTCGCGATGGTTGATTACTTAAATACCCTTAATGAATTTTTAGATTTTAAGATTATTTTTTATATAGTTTCTTTTTTACCTTTTCTCCAAATAACATATATAATAAAAAAGAAATATTTCTATTTTTTTAAATGAAAAACGAATATACATGTATATAATATGACTTTATTAAAAAGGAAAGTTCACAAAATAGTAATACCCCCATTAATATATATTTTTAAATATAAAATATATTTTCAAAATAATAAAAATAGATATATGTTCATGAACGTCCAAAAATTTATCAGTTACATTTTATTTTCTAATATTTTCTTAGAAATCAACATATAATTTGATAAATATTATGAAAATACATGTATATTTAAGCGATAAATAAAAATAATTTGATTTGATTTAACTAAAATAAAGAGTAAATAAATATTATGAAAATACATGTATATTTAAGCAATAAATAAAACTAACTTGATTTGACTTGACTAAAATAAAAAGTAACTATAATTAAATTTTAATTTAAAAATATGTTTAACTCAATATAATAACAAAATGAATGACTCGACTAATCTAATTTATATCCAAAAATTAGACATCTAACTGCAATAAGAACATATAATTTTATAATAATTATAATAATCTATTTAATTTTATACATATAGATTAGAGGTGACTCAAATCATATTAAAAAGAAAAAGAAATATTAACGCATTACAATTTAATTCTTTTTAGCATTTATATATATATATATATGCATGAGATTTCAAAATATTATCATTATATTCATTTATGTAATTTTGAATCAAACACTGCAGCTTATTATTTATTTCATTTTAAGCAAAATATATATTAAGTTATACATAATTTAACTATAATATATTTACATATTTAAGAATATATTTACATATCTTTTTTTTGGTCAAAAAATATATTTACATATCTAAATACAATAACCAACCGAAATGAAAATAAGAAAATTAATCAAAATTTTATTATATTTAGAATACAAAATATTATAGCTGAATTCGAAAAATATATTTTATCAAATATACCGAATTGATAACCAAACCGACTATTCATCCAAAAAGTAACCAAACTGACAATAATATATCCAAAGTCAAATGTATAATTAGAATAATATAATATTTATTTATATAAATTATACATATAAATTGATTCAAAACTAAAATTAAATATCAATCAATTATTATAAAATTTTACTTTTATGAATATTCATATCCGTGCATGAGCACGGGAAAATCACCTAGTATATATATATATATATGTTAGGTTATGCTTCCACAATGAGAAATAAGGAAACTTTCTATAAAACAAGGGATGACTATTTGGTATTTTAATATTTTTCTTGTCTACCCCAAACGACATCGAGAAACAAACATCCTAAAGATATGATTATTTCTACAATGTCACTCGTAGGCGAGGTAGATAGGTAACATGGTAGAGGACAGCATGGGAAGAGAAAATACAAAGGAGACATAAGAAGTATTGTTTAATTGCTTGATTAGCAAGCTAAAGCATCTGTGTTGCTTGCTGCACACATTCAAACCATTTCTCTTATAGTTATTGCTACCCCAATTTGCTTAGCATAGTGAAACCACTTGAACATCCTCTCCATCTATTTTGTCTTTCATCTACTAAATTTCAAAGTATCCGAGGTAATCTCAAACTTATAAACTATGGTATATACTGTAACAAACAGTTGCGTCAAGCTTTTAGCTCGATTCTGAAATTTCTTATCTGCAATATGGAAGAGACTTCAGGTCAAAAGGTTAGTTTAATTTCTTCTCGTACATTGTTTTTTTTTTGTGCAGCACCTTCTGCGTTACCAGTGGTTAGAAGATAGCCTAACTTCAGGAGAGAAAGCTAATGAAGACTTGTATCTTCTCAAAATTGGATTTGGGGAAACTGAAATAAGATATAAAGAGGTGAGATTATTTGTGTTTTCTATCTTATATGGCTCTCTTAAAGGATTTTGACCTTTTTTTTTCTCTCTCTCTTTTTCAAAAGCTTTGGGTGATGATAGGAGGTCCTTTAGCTATTACAAAGATATACCCGTCACTGAAAAGTTCCCCACTAAGATAGAAAGCATTGATCAGCTCACCTCCCTGGGATTGGAGGAAAGTCATTGGCAGATTATGTGATATCACTCAAATTACTCTAAGGAGTGAATTACTCTTTTAAAGAGGTTCAGTTGTAGTACATAAGGATCGAATTCACAACAGCTAGAGAACCAATTAGATCTAACTAGTTATGAATAATCTAGGCAGGTAAATAATCAAACAGTAAATAAATTATAAAGCAATGAAAAAAGTAAATTGTAATAAAACAATAAACAAGCTGAACAAAACAATTGTTTAGCTTGGCAAGAAGTTGTTTGATGGAATGATGGTTGCTAGATCAAGAGTTTCTATTCAAGTATTGGAGATTATATTCCTATAGGTGCTATCTAGTTGTATGCATGATATTAAAGAGCTTAACTATCTTAATAACAGATTTACTAAACTCTCGCTTAATAAATAAGTCGATTGACTAGAGTGTTATCGACCCAAACAAGAATGTCCGATCAATGACTGTGTCGATCAATTATTCTAGAGGAATATCGATCGATACACTTTACTCGACGTCGGTCATTTCTAATGAGAATATCGATCGATGCGGCTAATCAAGCGTTATGTGCGAGTTAATATATACTCACTAGAGACCCCTAGATCAAACTTTCGCTCTATCTCTAGTAAAATCCTAGCTTAATCAGGATGTATTCAAAACTATGCGAGTTATCTAAGGATTCTTAAACAACCTAACAATCCTAGATTAAGGTTTCTAGTTAGCTACTCTAGAACATCCTATTAATGAATATCACACCAAGCTATCCTATAGTTGGGACTAATCCCACTAACCTATTTGAACCCTAAACCTAAAGGTGGATCTACTCAGACATGAAGTTTATCACATAAATCATAGAAAGAATAGATATAAAATATAATAGCAATAGAATAGATAATAAAACCAATGGAGTTCCCAGGAGGACTCTGATGGAGTTCCTCCCTTCTCTCCTAGAACTAAGAACAATGAACAAAAGAAAGCTTGGTCGTCAACAATGGCTTACAAAATACATAAATAAGATTTCTGGTCGTCCAAGGGCATTCTGGTAGTTTATGTTTCTTCCGGGCTTAAGTTGGTCTTGAAATATAATCGATTCCCGTTCTGTGATCCATATCGATCGATACAGAGAGTTCTGAATCGATCAATTTTCCTTTATCTTCTCGACAACATCCTCTCGCAAGGCAGACTGACAATTCTTTAGTAAAACATGCATAATTTCTGCTACGGGATGCTAATTGATCTCATACCGGTGGCATTAGAAAGATAACTCAAAGCTATATCTTGTGTCAAAATATGGGTGAAATCTAACGGTGATAATGTCTCCATCCATAGCTAAACATCTGACTCGTTTGTGCAGTCCTGCACTCAAAAGATTTCAAAAGACATTAAAACCACCATATTTCTCCAAAACATAACTAAATCTGTAAATACTCTAAAAATACTCTATAATATAATAAATAGTTATAAAAACACTAATATACCATGACTAAAAGTAGGTCAAAATCATTGTATATCATCATGTGAGTAAAGAAAGGTGTTCAAAACTGCATAGACTTACCCTTTAATGCTTGGGGGTACTTCCAAGTATTTCATCTGCTCTAGTTCTAAGCTTTTGTATCATTAAATATCTTTTGTTAATATATTTGTTTCTCTGCATAAGATGTGAAAGGCTTCACTGGATTGTTTGATAAGCTTTTGGCAAGCACCACATAGACTGATGCATTGTCTTTTCCAAGTACATACCTATAACCTTTGTTTTGTATTTCTGTGAGAAGTTAATATTATTCTTCCACCTGAGTTTGGCAGATTCAAGAAATCGTGACAACAGGGAGGTTGTCCAAGTGGGAACACTTTGAAACAGATGAGAAGGTAAACTCGAAGTCATAAGTTAAAAGTTGTCCTACCATATTTCATTTTTCAGTAAAATATAAACACATGTAGACACCATTTGTTTTTTTTTATTTTTGTTATCGTAATCTAAATTCCTTAAAGAAAATACTGTGAGTGGTCTGGAGCTAGAGAACCGATGACTAATACTTTTCCTTTGCTAATTTTTTACCACCTCGAATGTGTCCTTACTTTGATTAAAGGTACGTACAATCAGTTTGTTTGGGGAAGTTTGGGGCATTGGTCCTGCTACTGCACTCAAGTTATATGAGAAAAGACATCGCACATAATGTGCCGGCCCTTGCATAAAGTAAAGGAAGCACCTGCATCCAGCCGTTTATTTTATCAACTAGTTTCGGCCACTAAATGTCAAAGGTACTTTTAGTCTTGCGGTAATTGGTGGATCATTGTGCCTTCTGAAACCCAGGTTCGAAGCTTAATGACAACATTTTTTCTTTTCTTTTTTTTTTCTGTTTTTCCCTTCTAAAAATAGCCAATTTTTTTTGTTTGCTTCTAGCCCGTAAATTTCTAGGACCGGCTCTGCGCACATTAGAAGACTTGAAGAACGAGGATTAGGTTGGGTTTGAAATATTTTGAAGATGTTAGAACAAGGATTCCACGCCAAGAGGTGTGATTCTTAGACTTTGACTTGAATTTTGTTTGTTTTTTATATCCTTGGTGTAGCATTCTCCTTATATTTTCTCACTTTTTGTGTTTTTTTTCTTTTTTTTCTTTAAAATTACAAAATATTTACTAAGCTATTAGTGAAAAATTTTCCTCATAAAATATTTTGCACAATATCAATCGTGAATTTGATTTTGTACTTCGAACATATATTTGAACTCCAAGATATTCATCCGCGTGGTCCATTTAAATCTCGTATCGGTATAAGGTTTCGTTGTCGCGGTTGTAATAGAGCAACACTTGCCGACCACCTTCAAGAACATCACGGGCGAAAACCAGTTCGCCGCTAGGTATAGTTCCTAGGAAGGAAAAGGGGGTAGAAACCCTTTGTTTCCAATCTGTTACATGAATGCCTTTAACAACCCACTCGAGAGAAACTTTATCCATTAGACAAAGTTTAAACTCTCCCGTATGGTTTAAATCAAATCCAGCATCGTTAGTGAAAGATGGCTGACCATCAAAACTGGTCAGTTTGGTGGTAAGAGACAAAAGTGGAAACTCCAGAGGCAACACTTTAGTAAAGAGCGACTCCGAGGTCAAATCAACGCAAACCACAATACAATTGGACTTTTGCACTGCACCGTAATAGATTTTACCGTTGAGGCAGATGGAGTAGGTGACAGGTGGATATGGAACATCGCAGGGAATAGACCTCCAGATAGCCTCGCCATGCTGAACCGTCAAGATCCGATGGCGCCTATAAAATTTACATTGGCTAACCCTATAAAATTGTATTATTTAATCGTCAAAAAGTGTAATTGTTGATCACATAAAGTTAAAATTGCAATGGTTGATAAAAAATATTTTAATTGTTAATATTCAAAGATTACAGTGGTTTACTTAAAAGAAGATGTAAGTTTATTCAGATAACTTAATGAGAGGTGAAACTATTCAACCACAGAGAAAATGAGATTCCGACACATTTCTCAATTGATAAAAGTCCGAAGAATTAGATGGGCTATAATATTTTTGATAAGAGTTTACAATAACAAAGATATGTAAAACTGAAATCTGTGATGTTTATTCATTGAACCAATGGTCCTCTTTTATACAAGTTAGAGATATACGAGATGTGTTCTACTCCTAGATATTCAGACTATACGTCTATCACAAAAATATGTAGTCCTTATCTCTAATATATTTGTACTTATCTCTAATACTTCCCCTTAAGATGGCGCGTAAAGATTTCGAACGCCCATCTTGCCCAAAAGGTAGTGAAACTGATTGCGTCCAAGTGGCTTTGTGAGAATATAGGCCAGCTGCTCAGTTGTCTTCACATATCTTGTTATGATGGAACCATCTTGAACAGCGTCACGGATGAAGTGACAATCTATCTCGATGTGTTTCGTTCTTTCATAGAAAACAGGATTTGCTGCGATGTGTAACGCCGCTTGATTATCGCAATAGAGTGCGTTAGGAGAATGTTGGTGAATTCCAAGGCTTCGCAAAAGTTCCATGATCCATTTGAGCTCACACAGTGTCAAGGCCATCGATATGTACTCAGCTTTAGCCGACGACCGTGACACTACTTGTTGTTTCTTCGTTTTCCAAGAGACGATAGACTGACCAAGCAAGACGACGTAACCAGTAAGAGATCGTCTATTCAAAGGGAAGCAGCCCATTCAGAGTCACAGTAGGCAGAGAGAGTGAGACCGTTCTTTGAGATCAAAAAGATTCCTTGTCCTGGTGCTTTCTTTAAATAACGAACAACGTGCAATGCTGCATTCCAGTGTTTAAGTCGTGGAGCTTGAAGAAACTGTGTGAGTGTATGCACTGTGTAGCTAAGATCCGGCTTAGTTACTGTAAGTAGACAAGTCTTCCAATCAACCGTCAGTACTTCGAAGGTTCTGAAATTCTCCTTTGTCACGAACCAGTGTATGATTTTGCTCCATAGGTGTATCGATGGGTTTGGATCCAAGTAAACCACACTCATTGATAATGTCGGGTGCAGATTTTTGTTGTGACAAGTGTATGCCGTCTTTGTTGCGAGAAACTTCTATCCAAAGGAAATACTTAAGAACCCCCAAATTTTTCATGTGAAATGTCTTGTTGAGATAAGCTTTGAATTTTGAGATAAGAATCAGATCATTACCTCCAATAATAAGGTCATCGACGTAGACCAACACATACACAGTAGAGGAGCCACGCTGAAGTGTGAACAATGAGTAGTCTGAGTTATTTTGCTTTAAACCGATAAATTAATAAACACCATAAATTGATAAAATTCTTTGGTTCTAAGTTAGGTCGGTTTAAAATATGACAGAAATGAATAAAATAATAAAATAATAACTTTTTAAAAAAACTCTTATATAAACATATGTCTTATTAAAATTATAAATTAATAATTTATATGCATATACATTTTATATACTATAAATAAACTATCTTATTGTTTGCTTTGAATTCATAATGGAATTATCTTTATATTTTTAACACTATTTCTTAAAAATTTAGTTAAATTATATCTCAAACTATATTTAAATTCTATGAAACATGATTATATACATCAAATAATATAATAAAACTAATTTAAAAAATAAATTTCAAAAAATAATTAATGTATATAAAGTAAAACCAAATATTTTTCTTATTTTAGAAAAATATATTTTAAAATAGAAAAAAATAAAAAGGATTTTTTGTAAATTAATAACCATATCAATTAATAAAATATCATAATTTCAATATTATTAATTTATTAAGATTTTGTTCCACTTATTAGAATAATATATCGCTCCCGACTAGCACTACTATGGGCAGAAATAATTTGGTAGCAAAAGGAGGACAAATTTTAGGTATATAAATCTAGATTTTTTTTTTTTTTAAATATAAATCTAGAAAAAGTAATCTAGGGGGGACTTCCACATATCTATATAAATAATGTGCTTTCCTATGATAACAGAAAACAGTAAGATCACATTCAAAGACAAACTAAGGAGTGCAGAGGGTATTTTACTAAGCTAAGAAGAATGGCTGTGAAGCTCATTAACCTCTTTCTTTTCGTTTACATTGTTCTTCTTATTTCAGGTAAATTATATAGTATTATTTCCTATGCGCTTAAGATCTTTTGTTCTTTTGAGAGAAATACAAAATGTTTTTGATATGATAATGATACAGAAGGGAATGCTACTAATGCGCACCTGACGATGGGTACAAAGGTAGCTACCGAGGGAGGACGGGATGGGAAAACTACTGGTAGGCCGGAATGGCAGTACCCAGCAGGAGAATGTGCAAAACTACCACCTTGCAACAAATATTGCCTTTCCAAAGGGTTTCTTCTTGGTGGAGTTTGTAAGAAATTGTCCCCTCAAGCATCTTCTCTTTATTGTGTTTGTAAATTCACCTAACTTAACAACAAGTTTCTTTTCTTTCTTTTTGTTGTTGAGAAACAACAATAAATTTATGTTAATGCAATTTTATATTTATGAAAAAATATAAATAAATAATCTATTGTTTATGAAATTATTTTGTAGTATAGAAATCTCTAAAATATAGTTATGCTTGTTTTTATTTTATTATAAAACTGAGTCTTTTAGTCAATTAATTTATTTTTCAAATAATTTGAAAAATATTAATAAAAATTATTTAAAATATGAGACCTAATATTGTATATTGTTTAGATACAAAATTAGTTATTAATTATGTTTTTAAAATATAGATAGTAGTATAATGTTGTTTCCAATATAGTTACCTTAATGAAGTTTTAGTGTTGTCTTAAAATGATATTTAAGTTATATACTTCATTATTTGACCCAAAAAATGTAATACATGACTAAAGATTATGTCCAAATTGTGATCTTGTTTTAATAAGATAGATTAATCAAAGGAAACTAGTTTTGAGGTGAGTGAATGACTCATGTAATGGAACATCAATAAAGCTTTATGCAACAAATTTATCGTCATATCATCAAGATGAGATCATCTCTATTATTAAAATAGAAGTACTGATATAAAATATCTCAGAGTTTTCAACTTATTTACACTTCTATGCCACTGACACTATTAATAATCTTTCCTTAAAATGATCTTTTCTTTTTCGATTATTTAATACATATTTACTGAAGCTAATCTATACTATTAAAGCAGATGACTGTTTTGGTTTCTGCCCCTGAACTTTCTATGAAATTACAAGATTTGCCTCTTTCATTTTTTAAAATATTGTAAAACTGGACTTTTTCTTTTTATTAAATGGGCTTCACGAAATATTAAATGGGCTTCACGAAATAGGCTTCAATATTTCGGATCTTCAAATGGGCTATAACATCTTCAAATGTTATAATCCTATACCCTAAACTCTATTCAGATAATCCTATACCCTAAATTCTATTCAAACCCTATGCAAACCATATCTACAATCCAGTTCCCTAACCTTATTTTATGTACAGTAACTGAAATGTGATTTATAAATACTAACTCTATTCAAATTAATCCAATACTAATGTATACAATCTTAGTTCTTAAATAAATCCTATATGTTATGCAAATTCACACGATAATGAAAATTCTGAGAACTGAAACCCATGTTAAACAACTGATAATTTCCAGTAAGATTATGAATAACAATATTATTATGAATAACAATAATATTGGGATACTCATATATATTCGGTAAGATTCAAAATTTATTGACTAAAGAGAATATCTATGGATTTTCCAAATACTAATCCTAATCAATATTCAATATTAAATGGGCGATTTAAGCAGAAAATATATTATGTTCACCTATATTTATGGATTTCCCAAATACTAATCCTAATCAATATTCATTACTATAGAGAATATTCCCCAAATTTCTCCCCATGTTTGCTCTTAAAAACCTAAGCACGTCCCTTAATTATATTATAAATAGAAAACACTCTATTCCGATTATCTCTACACACCTTCAAACAAAGTTATGGATTGTGGTCCAGTCGAAACCATTCAGTGTGCTAGAGGAAAGCAACGAAAAAAGCTTGAGTTAACTCTAACCGACATAAAGTAAGTCAAAGCGCTTATGGTGTGCTCATTAACCAAGATTATATCACTAGCCATATCTTAACTTAGATTCGTAGTGATTCACGTTTACCCTGCTGCATCTGGGGCAACTTGGCCGAGAAACTCCATTCTGCAATTAACCAAGAAGATGGAATGGTTACTATGTTGCTGAGGTTTGCTAAGCTTGGTAAATTAGAGGTACATATTTACACTCAGTCCATTTTGATACAAACTAATTCTGCATAAAAGATTCATTTAGATGTATCGTTTTTTGTACCTTATAGGAGAATTGCAGATCTCTAATGCATTTGATGCTTCTCAAATGATGATCAACCCTCCAATACCTGAAGCTGAATCATTTAAGGATTTGTAATTAGTATTCTCTATCTTATTTATGACACAGAGACTACTAATATTACTGTTAAATAAGTGTCTTTGAAATTGTAACAGGATCAATGAGTCTGACAAAACTCTAACATCTATCCAGAGTAACCAGGACAGTCATGAGGACAGCAACACCCAAGTTGGCCAGTTACTGACGCGAGGACATCGTGATAAGTGGTTGCTCTTTCCCACTAAGAGCATTTTCGAAATGATAACATCAACTCAAGTAAAAGTTTTTATGAGTCATTTACGAGTTACACCATTGTTGATATATTTGAAGAGATGATTTTGATAAATGCATTTTATCTGTAGGTTGATAGATGCTTGGTGAGTTGCACAGTGGATGTCATTGATATGGATTGGTCATGGTATTATTTTGGTTGTAAAGCTTGCAACAAAAGAGTGATCAAAACTGGAACCAAAGTTAAGCTTTTGAATGTTAAAGAGATCATTACTCATATTTGGTGGTGTGAGACATGCAAAGACAATGTCTTTGAAGTTTTACCAAGGTTTGATTTTAAATTAATTTTATACTGGCTATGTTTCACAAAGTTACTTCAGGTACATATTATATCGCGTATATATATAATATATGTAATACATAGTTATGCTCCTTTGTACAGATTCTGGCTGCACTTGATTGTTAGTGATGATACAAGCGTCTTGAAAATAATGATATTAGATAAGGTTGCTAATGGGATTTTTTCTGAAAGTCCAGAAACACTGTTAAACACTGTTTATGCAATTAGTACCGATTGTCCATGGTATTATTGTGCTTGTGTGGTATGCAACAATGAGGTTAAGAAAATGACTATTTCATTTAATGATCTGGACGTACCAGACTGGTGGTGTGAGGGTTGCAGTTGTATTGTTACCAAAGTTACACCAAGGTAATTAGGTTATTCCAAAATCTGATCGTACTATATACTTATTTATTACTTATTTTATATTTTGTAATGCTAAAACAATGTTAGTGATTATTGTTTTCAGGTACAAGTTGAAATTGCTTGTGCAAGATCTAACAGGTGAGTCAAACTTAATGCTTCTAGACGCAGCCGCAAATACTATTATCAATGCCTCTGCAGCAAAACTCTTAAATGGTTCTTATAATAAGATTATCAACTATTTAATACTGTTTTTATAAGAACATTTTATATCATCTGAGATTCTTACTACATTCAATCTTACTATATTTAACAGATCAAAAATCCTGAATTACCAAGTGAGATTGTGGAGATCGTAGGAAAGACTTACGGCTTTGGGATATCTGGAGATGATGAAAACAATGTTTGTGGAGCAAAAACGTTTGAAGCCTTGAAAGTTTGGAATCTTGATAACATTCTAAGGAAGAGAATCAAGTCACTGCACCAGTTATCTACGAAGAAACAATGCAGTGTCAGAGGAATTGAAAAAAATGTCTAATTATGAAGCCAAAGACAAGAAGAGCGGCTAATTCTATCCCGAAGACAAGATCATCATCAGTTTTTTTTTTTTATGTTTTACTTATGCTATGGTTTTACGAATTGAATAATGCTGTTTATGATTTCTTTCTACTTTGTTTTTTTGTGGCTTTTATGAACGCATCAATAAAGTTTTCGATCGAACTACCAATACTAAAATCAAACTCCGGTTTCTACCAATAAAGCTGAAATCTGGTCAATTGTAACGAACATAGTATAATAAATATCAGGAGATGACTCAAACAACTATCTCAATCAGTAATTGGATTCATAGACCATTTGTTGAGACTATAAAATAGAAAAGAATTATACTTATCTGATTCTGCAACTTGGGTAAAAGCTTATATTCTGGAACTTGGGGAAAAGCTTATTACTCCTTTTGATTTGTTGTTCTATCTTCACATTCCAAACAAAGAAAGGTCAGCGAAATTCTAATCAAAAATAATTATTGAGAAAATGATTAGGTCATTGTCGGCAGAATTTGTGTCTTTTGACTTTATCAGAATCCGACTTTTTAAAAAATTAATATTGAAGGGTCAGTTTTTTTAGTTAACTAGGTGATTTTCCCGTGCTCATGCACGGGCTTAAATATTTAAGAATAAATATATTATAATAGTTGATTGATATTTACTTTAAATTTTATATTAATTTATAGTTTGTATATATAATTTGTATTAATAATATTATATTATTTTAGTTATTATAATTTTATATATATTATATTTAGTCAGTTTTATCATTTGGATACATATATATATATATTTATATTTATATATATATATATATATTGGATTCTTTCTATTTCTATGAATTCAACTATAATCTTTTTTATTCTAAATATCTTAAATTTTTGATTAATTATTTTATTTACATTTATGTTGGTTGTTATCTACGAAATATAAGTATATCTTAGTAAGATTATGTATTTTAAGATTTTTTGTGCTTAGAACGAAAAAAAATAAAAACTAAAGTGTCTGATTCTAAATTACATAAGTAATNTATCTTAGTAAGATTATGTATTTTAAGATTTTTTGTGCTTAGAACGAAAAAAAATAAAAACTAAAGTGTCTGATTCTAAATTACATAAGTAATAATAAATTTTTGAAAGCTTATGAACACATATCAATATTTACAATAATTAAAATATTTTATAAATTCTAAATAATTTATGCCATAGATTGATTGGATGATAAACTGATATTTTTTTTAAATAATTTTAAAAATAAGGAATTCTGATTTGCTTTAATTATTAGATTATGGTTATATTAAATTCCACAAACATAAAAACAGAAAATTAAACATCAAAAGAGTTATTAAGAAAACAGATAATTTTAACTATTAATTATAATATATCTACCTTGTTAAACTATAGTGTTATGATATATTAAAAGAATTGTAGTTATTTGATCAAAAGATGTTTATTATTAAATTTATTTTTAGTTTTGTTTTTAACATCTATTAAAATATGCAGTACAAATGTGATTTTTTTTGAGAAATTGTATTATATAAGTAAAATATAATTTATATAT